TAATGGGCGAATTTAATTGATTTTGCTTGATAATTGGGTTCTAACTGTCCCGAGCCTATGGTGAAGTAAATCCTGCTCATTCCCTAGCTATTAGCCAACGAAAATATTAAGATGTCTTCCATTTTCTCTCAGGTGCTTAATGCCTACACTAGACCGCATACAACAGACGCCATCCATGCCTGCCAGTCTTGGCACAAATACAATCTTGCAGCGCTTGCAATGACAAAACGAAGCGCTAGCATATATAGAGAGAGTTTGTTTCATCTACCTTACCAACTGAGATCAAAAACATCGGTATGTGTAGTAGACAATATCGATGTCTGTGTGGCGATTTGATAAAAAACATATCAGATCCCAAAGGGAACTAAACCATGCTTATTGTCACCTACTGGGACTAAATGAAAAAACCACTTTGAATCACCAGCTAAACCTGGTCTCTCAGTGTAGCCACAAGAATTCCTTTTCAGTTTATGTGGGCCAAACATGGAACGTCCTCCCCAATCATGATGTTTCTTCCCCTACAATAACAGTAATCCAACAACGTTTTGATGACACTCTCATGCCTTTATTATACACAATATAGCCGTTTGTGTCCGGGCGTCAACTTAACGCCAGGAGTTACTGTGCTCAGTACCGCTTCCTACATTTCGTTACCTAAACACTGCTACTGCGATGATGTATTCAAACTGGAACTACAAATTGCACCGGTTCCGACGAAGCGGCACATAAGTTAGCGCTCTCATTTTCTATTTTACTTTGCTCACAGAATATGTCAACTATAACTGCTCGGCGCATTGTTTTGTCCGCACAAATTCGATTCCCATTTCCCACTAAATAATGCGGCAGTGCATTTAAATGGGTAGGCGCTTTAATTGATGGTCTACATATATTTTGATTGCTTCTTCTTAGTCCGAAGTTTCCCACGGGAATTGTCAAGCACCTGCAATTTTACTCGTGACAAGTCATCCTTCTTTGTTCAGTGAACCTGTGAAAAGACGCATCATGATCCTCGCGTTGCTACAGCGTATCAGCTATCCCGTGGCCTAAAAGTTCTTCTCAATCGGAAAAAGCAGCTACAGACATGCGTAATCCCGGAGCCATGGCTTTAGCGAGTGTGAATCTTAAAGCAACATCAACTCTTACGGTGACCAAGTGATTTACTTTCGCTTAGTTACGGCGTCAGCTCACGATTAAGCATTGACTAGTGGAAAGCATGGAGTTCATATATTATAGTAAGAAATAGGTGAACCCATTAAAAAGCAGTACCAGCTTTTATGAGTACATCATTTTATGCACCGCTGATTTTAGCAACCCAGGATTCAGTGTATAGCTGTCGTCCTTTCTCCGTGGTCTATAGGCAACTCAGAGGTCACTAGCACATTTGCACAAACGTAACTGAAGCTAGTTTAATCACTGCGGCTACTCTTGTTACTAATGTGATACTCTTTGAACTGTGTTATGATTGGTTAATATCAGAAGAGGGCGTTAGTGTACTGCTGTTCAACTAAAAGATTTGGATAGAAATTAATGCTGCTTTCAGTCAATATACTCGATTTTTCTGAACTATGTTTCACTGTATTGATGGACATATTGGAAACTTGCACTGCGAATGGCCAAGCCCAGTGGCAGTAAGTCACATGTTTAACCACAGAAGTATCCATCAGTTATCTTCATCTTGCGTTATAGTTAGCGTTCACACGATAGTGTGGGACAAACCAGTATCGTAAGAAATCGCCTTGTCACGTGCTATGTTCCAGAACTGGGAAGAGGTAATTCGCACAGCATCTGCTCCACATGTTCGGTACTCGTGTGGATGATTATGGAGAGATCGGTTAGTGATGGAGTGGAAATGTGTTCCAGTCCAGTAGCACACGGAGCATACGTACAACACCTGCTGGTTGCATAATTCTCAGTTTAAATTAATACTGAACGCATTCTGACCTATACACTACGATTCAACCTAGATTTACTCGGTACTCCTTACAAAATGGGGTAACTATGGCACCTAGTAAGTCAAAGGTAGTAGCAAAGGATAGTCCGTAATGTTACCGAAAGAGATTTACTGGATGGGTTCCGCACCATTTCATACATTCCATTTGGGTGTACGTTTCCCTATGACTTTAACTAGACATGTTCCAACATCGAATGAAAACGGCTTTCTCGCACACCTGCGAATTCCCAGTTAACAACTGGTTATTACTGTAAACGGGATGACTTCAACTTCTCTTACTACCGTTATTTGATGTCTGTGGAGATACTCCCATGCGAATTGTCTCGCAATGAACGGCATCCACTCCGGATCTGATAAGATCAATGCGGAATACTACGCTGTACACACGGTATTAAGCCTAGGTTACTCCGATGTGAATAACAAAACAGGTAATTCCATCTCATGATTGAAATAGCCATTGTGGAATAAGATCAGCACATACACAGGAGCTCATTGTAATAAGCTCACTTATGAATACCATTACACTGACGTGGCTGTTCCGCAGTGTGACAAGTATGGGATTAAGTTAAGTTACTACCACTAGAAGCGTTAGTCCGCAAAAGCGCTCAGGCATTTCATTCATACTCATCAACCAGAATGTTGTTACTCATGGGAGCATGTGAATAACTTTATGTGTAATAGATTAGCGGGCCGTTGTTGGCCACTTGACCAGCTTCGCGGCATCACCCCAAAAGGATCAGAAAGCGCTTGTTGGCCACCTCTGAAACCATCACAACCAGAATACTTCAGCCGGATTTGCGCAAGCAGAGAACACTTAGACAATCTAGCATGTTGCCTTGGCCGTAATATCGAACCGTGGTTAGGACTGAGAGTTGGCCATTGTGGACCTACCGGCCAATGCACTCGCAACTCACTGCGGAAGATGGATGTCAACGGTGCGAACCTGTTCACATACGCTGCTGTGCACAGAACTTCCCGGCAAAAACCAAGCATCGAACGACCCGTTTTAATGGCCTCACGACCGACTAAGTAAAATTGCTGATATTGCCAGGTTTGATAGGTGTACACAACATAGTGGGCGTAATCTATCAGTTGGGCTTCGAAGGATTCAAGATAGGTAGGTTTTTGACGTCGTTATTTATAGGTAATATAGTAATTATCACGTACACAGCCACAGGGAGCCTTAACGGATTTGGTATTCTTTTTCTGATCGATTTTGGAACTCCATTCCAGCTGCTGCGTCTTGAGTTGGTTAAGCATCTTGGAGATCAACGCATGAACCCTAGGAAGCGTCCACGGTGGAGTACATTGGGTGCGGCAGAATTGGCATTCGAGTGTGGTCTGATAGTCCAAGTCGGTTCAGAAAATGTGACTGCTTTCCACGAGTTTATAGTTTGCCGCCAGCTGGGTTGGTGTATGATGTTGAGAAGACACTTTCTGACCTTGCATGCTAGTGTGATTCAATTACGCAGTTGGTTTTTACCACCTAAGTTTAGGCCTGACGGCGCAAGGCCCATTTGCCACACGTAAATATCTTACTCAGTGTTGGCTCGCTCCTGGGAACTAACCGAATTGAAGTCTGACGTAATAGAGCCGCTACGCTTGGGTAAAACGTGTGACAGGCATAAGACGTATCTCTATTTGCCTCTTTGAGACTATGAAGAATTGTTCAGTAATGCGTAGTTAGGTCGCACTGATGTAATCCAACAAGAAATTCATGCAAATGACCACCACTCGATTAGTCAACGGGTCCAGAGATTTCCCATATATTACCAACCTCAAATGGGCAGTATAACTAGAGACATGTTTGAAAAACACATTCGTCAATCGACATCACCAGGGGCCAGCCAAATCGTTCTTGTTAAAAAGAAGGAGAGCAAATTGCGGTTAATCGTAGGTTACAGGAGTGTACGAGGTTTCTTGTAAAAACTTTCCTGCTTTCATTTGTCGGCGCAACATTTGAAGCACTACACGACGCAGTGATTTTCTACGCTACACCCGGACGCACAGTACCGGTAACTCACTTGCGTTAGTATTATGGACTATCCGTTGCTACTACGTTTGACTTAATATGTGCCATGGTTAACTCCATCTTGGAAGGACTACCGAGTAAGCCTATGTTGAATCTCAGTGGATAACTCAGAATGCGTTCAGTGTTGGTTTAAATCGAGAAGTATGCAACCAGCAGATGGTGGAAACATGCTTTGTGTGCTACTGGACTACAGCACATTTCCACTCCATCACTAATCGATCTCCCCATAGTCCACATGGGTACCGAACCTGTGTAGCAGATACCGTGCGAATACTGATTGTTACATTGATGCAAGCGCTAGGTTTTGTGCTCAGATCTCCATTTGTTTGTGTAAAGACTTGGTACTATGCTCGTTCCTTTTGACACGCGGAATGCAGTTACTGCACCCAATGTGTTTGTTTCCGTGGTTACCGGTGAACATCCTATCTGGCATCCACATCAAACGCGGAAGAAAGCCTCCACTAGAAAAACATAACATTTCCTTGCTGCATCAAACACCTTTCAAAGAGTTACTTACTCTTTTCGCTTCCATGTTTACTTTCTGCGTGACCACTCAAGGAATGCTTTTTGGGAATCAGCCGTTTTTGCCCTTTGTCGTTGGCTTTCTCTGTGCGTCAAATGCGGTTACTTGTTTACAATAGCAGAATACTTTGACAAAACCAGACGCAATAATTGTTTGAAAACCGGTCACCAGAGGATCGCAGACAACTGATTGCATTCCATTGTTGGTCGCTAATTTGCGATTAATGAAATACCCAAAATACCTGAACAATTTCACAGGCAGCGGCCTCTTGGATTCTGTTCGCTATCTGTAAAGAAAATTCCCTATCTCGATTGGTACACATCATCCTATCAGGGGCGGGGTTAATAGCAGAGCCGGTGTAACTGGCACAAAAGACCGAGTAGTTAAACATGGGAATTTTCAGAATAAAACAAGCAAATACAGTTCCAGTATGAAGGAGGCACCAACTCACCCGATACAGTTGATAAGAGAAGAAAAGTTGCTCGTTAACTTACCATCTTGCCACTTGGGACACCATCCTTTGTTGCTCAGGTAATGCCCATATTCTGGTGTACATGATCGCTGCGCTCGCTTACCGCGTGCACTCGAGGCAGCAAAACGAGCATATGGAGGAATACCGAGAAGTTGTTTGCAGGCTGAAGTATGACAAAGAGGTTCAGTTGAGCATGCAGTATTGGCCAGCAAAACAAAGCATCGCTACATTGGTGCCCGAATTGATCGCAGCGGTTCAGGGACTGTACAATCATCAGTCACTAGGTATGCCAAGCTACCAGTAACTTAGCCAATAAGGGAGAAAAATTCGCGAAAATCATGCTACGTACATAGTGCGCTGTCTTTTAACAGTACAGCCAAACATTGGGCTCAAATCTGGATAAGGTGTTTAATAGCCCATTTTATTTTGTTTATTTTGTAGTTGATAGCTTGAATAATGTTAATATCGACGTCCTGAATATAATCTAGATCATGCCATTTTTAACTGAGGTTGAGGATAAGAACCGTTACCCATATAAACCGACGGCCCTTACTGTTTCTTAATGTATACACCTGAGCCAAAGACTAAAACCAGTGGCGAACGTTACTTCAATCAGTAAAGACTATATCAGAGTATGGATATTTGAATCAACATTGTCAACAGATTTCTGTTTGGGACGTGCCTCGTATGTTGCATCTCTGTGCATTGTGTTTGCACAGTTAGATTGCATTTGGCGGTCAAGTGAACTTTGTTGGTATCCCATTTAATAAAAAAATTCGATATGTCCCACTAACGCCATGTTTATTTTACTAGACATGTTGCAAATATCAATGTCTTAGTCTGCTGTCACTCACGTTGACACCCCACCAGTTCCACACGGAGGCTTGGGTGACCGTGCCAAGTGTAGGTGTGTATTTTTACGTATCGTGCCTTGATCGGTTCGTCCAAGTAATTGTGCTTGACCGTGAAGGAATCTGTGTTGCCTTCAAAGATCTGAAAGTGTACCAGAGGCAACAATTCTAATCATGATCTGGGTGTGAAATACGGGGAGCCGCAACGAGATTTCCTGCGGCCCTAATCACCATGCAAAAGGGACTGAATGGTTTCATTTGTTAGAAGAGAAAAATTGTTGTTTCTCTCAACGGGTGAACAAATATTACCTTTTCGCCGATTCTGCGGACCGATAAACATTTGTTGTCTTTGTTGATTCCACTGTATTTGAGCAAACTTTTCGACACAACATTTGCAAGTCCAAAGGCGGCTAGTTCACCGCTAAAACGCTTAGCATGCGCGCCGGCATACGTAAACTCAAAAGCATCTCTTTCAGTTTATAACTTAAATTTCGCAAACATTTCATTCAGCGTGCGCTACCTAATAATTTGAGCGAGTAGTGTCTTGAAGTACTCGAGATAAAGAACAGCAATCATTGTGTATAATTCTCACAAATTCACAGGAAAGAGTACCGTTTGCGATTTCGAAACGCTGTTAAACTGTGTCAAATAAAAGACAGGAAGTTCACAGAACGGAAGCTGTGAGATCACCTAGTGATTTAGTGCAACCTAGTCGATCGCGAAAACGCAGATATGGTAGCTATACTAAACAAAGTCATATAGGACAATAACTAGCCACTTGTTGGACAATCGCTGCACCTCACGTTACCACGGTAGGTTGATATTAAATGACTGTGTATTGTGTAAATAGAATTGCTGCGTGATTGTGATTGACGAGCGTGCACGAGTTATTTCATTCACAGCTTCTGATGTTCCTGCATGAAATTACAAGGGGATTGTCCTGGTTCAAATAACCAATTAGCTCAATGATACTTGTTGTGCTTGATGGGCACCATGACTTGGATGAAGCTCATGGTCACTCGAACCGGATTCACGCTTAATTGAAATTAACCAACGAAATAAAAACGGATAACCACTTGCAAGTTCTTTACATCTAGTCATCCACAAGGATGGATGGCGACACTCAACGATGTGCACAGGGGAAACGTAGAGTGGTTTTATATATCTTTCCGCAAATCGACTGCCATATCAGTTATCATCATCAATATTAACAACCGTAGCACATAAGCCATTTGAATTGACGTGTTGCTTCCGCACAACCATAAAGACAAAAGAAAAGACGAATATTGGCATCTTGTCAACAACGCGTCCACAAAATGCTGCCCAATACGCAAGAATAAGGCAGTATAGGCGAAACTGCTTCCGTGGGGCTTTCAATGCCTCGCGTCATAATCAGACATTACCCCGCAGGTAATTCAGCACCCCATGCACTTTAAACAGGCCGACCGACTGCGAGTTATGTCCTGTAAACTCCCGAGCCAAGCACAGATTGGATCACGTGGACTCTATCCTGGTAGGAGAGAATGAACAACAAGATTGCGTTTTGTAGTAACTTTTGAAATATGTGAATTGACTTCAGTGGTTACGGGTGCATCATCGTTGAGGCAGCTGTCAAGGTAAGGGAATTGATCGACTGCTTCAAGTTCCTCGCTATCATAGGTCAATGGATTACCGAGCGGCAGATGCACCTGCAGCAGCACTTTACTTTGACGGTGCGAAGCGCAAGCCAAACAATGGCGTCACTCGAGGGAGGTTATTCAGGATTCACTAGGTTACCCTAACATCGTTTAACAGCAAGACAACGTCGTGCGCATAATCGAGGTCAACTAGCTTCACAACAGGCAGAATCATTAAGCTTGCATCGTGATATTCCACAAGGAAACCTCCATGGCGGAGTCCATGGCGAAGTTGAAAAAAAGGATTAGAACATGGGACAAGCCTGATGAACGCTAATTGTTCTCGGCAAGATATCTGACAAATCAACATAGACTCTGACGCGGCCTGTCGTGTTTGAGTAAATAGCCCTTGAAGTGTTCACATAGTTCATGGGAACACCTTACTGCGCAGGTATATTGAACAGAGTGGATCGACCGACCAAATCAAACGCACACTTGAAGTCGAGGAAACCTGCTATTGCTGGTCAGTGATGAGTGTGACGCTGCCCTACACCTGCCGCGGAGTGGATATGTGGTCTATACAGCCACGCCCTAAGCTGAAACCTGCCAGCTTTCCCTAGTTCGGGGTTTCCGTCCCTCAGTGAGGCGACGAACGAGAATTGAGGATAAGATTTTGTTCACCCTCAGCGTTAGGCCAATACTCCTGTGGTTATCACAGTCTGCACGACCATCCTTCTTGTACACTGTCATTATAACTGATTCACTCTAATTAGCCATGATAATCTCTGGGACCCGTTCGAACAGGGACGTCAGTGATTTGCAGAGGACCTCACCACCATCCTTAAATAGTGCAGCTGCGATGGAATCCGGGCGAGCAGCTCGAAAACGAGCAAGGGCCGTGATGGTATTTCAGACCTCGGCATTTGATAGAGCCTCTAAACTAACGGTCCATGGCTCAACCTGCACCAAGTGAGTAAGAAGGGGTCAAGTAGCCTGGGGCCAACTGTATTGCTTTTGCAAGGAGCCGGTCAGGGTTCACAATTGCGAATTAGCTCACCAACGCTGTCGTTGATTGTCGCACTGACGCTTGGTTTCATGGGACCAGTGGTGCGGATCAGTTAGAAGAACTTGCAATAATTGTTTGCTTCCACCTGTTCTATTTATTGCGTCCTAATGGTGTACCAGTTTTCCTTCTCAGCACACTGGCTCCGCTTTAGTTCGTGCCTTATAGGCCGTCTGGTTACACTGTGCTCAGAGCCAGTTGGGAGTTTCTTTCCGATTCCAAATGCTTTACCGACCTCTCAGGTATCCAGTGACTAGTGCCACGATCAGAAAATTCGCATCTTGCATGGCGGCCGAGATCCTATCCCATTGAAGTTCATTATCATTCGAACTAGAGAACAAATTTTTGACAGGCAGTGCATCCTGATAAGATTACCTGACCGTTGCCTAGGCTAAATTCACATTTGCCAATAGAAGGCGACACTTAATGGTTTTCCGGTAAAGTTAGGGAAAATGGCAGAGGAAGTAGGCATGATCAGAGTGAATGCAATTCCCGAACGTGAGACAATCTGGGATGGAACAACGTCACCTATAAATTATGGCCACCTCAGCTACGTATGTCCATCGTCGGCTAGCTAACTGGGGACGCCAAGTAGCATTTCGGCGCCCACTGCATCAAAAAGCAGTGCCACTAACAAACAGCCGAAGCTCCGCGCACATTTGCAAAGGACATTCACTGCTGTCCATCCGGTCAAAGTTATACTGGTGCTTGCCCCCTAGCTCAACTGCTGTAGATCTCATACGGCCTAACTTCACAGTTATTTCCCGTTCAACAACAACGATATCTGAAAGGATAACACTGGGAAGCAGCGTGTTCAGTTCGTGATAGAAGGTGTTCTTGGTAGCATCAGAATTGCAGTCGGTGGGTGCATATGCGAAAACCACAAACCAGTAAGGTCTAGTGCTAATTCGTGAATCAACCTTAGTTCAGGTAGTCAAACAGGCTGTACAAAAACGACTGCTCTCATGGATCCGGTCTACTAGCGATGATCCAGCAAGGCAGCTGAGAAAGATGTCAACCCCAGCTTGACTAGTGATTGCCGCATCAGCGTCTCCGATCGCAGTTAGTTCAATAACGCCGTTGTGGTCATGTTTCCTATTTTTGGACACACAACACACGTCAATACTCAGGGTGTCCAACGTGTGTGCGAGTGAAGCATGGTGACCTATTTATCTTAGGGTACGAACGTTGAAAGCTGCCAAGGAAACGGGACAGCGTTGCTTTATAAGGGGCTGTTTTCGATAAGCGTTCTGTGGGTGGCGCGTGAGAATAGTTTCAGATGATATAACTAGTGGCAGCGCGGCTGCTGCCAATTAAGCTGGGAACTATGGAATGAAGGCCAGTAATAAGGTCAGGAGTAAGAGAAACAGGCGAAACAGCAAGAGAGACAAAATCAGTGGTTTCTGCATTCTAATGTATGCAGCAGATAAGAAGACCCTTGTAAAGATGCGCGACGGCTGATGCAAGATTTGGTTGAGTTCCGTTGCGTTAGTTGTGGTTGTATGTGGGCTAAAAGATGAAAGGGCACAAAAACCTAGGTAGAAAGATAGGTATAGCAGTAGGAATTGCAGCTGATGATTTTTGAATGTTTTTGGATCCAGCTACGACTCAGCCGCCACCGATATTCGCAGAAAGGCCTCAGCCTCCGTTCAATTGTGACCTTTGAAGTAATATGGATTCAAGCATTTCAATCATCTTGTGTCTGTAAAATATCTTAATCCATGCTAGGCAACCAGCTTGGTCCGTACGTGGATTAACCCAACGACCTCAGCGCAATACTCAACCTGTCAAGACATAGTCTGCATGTTGGTTGCTGACCCAGACCTCCTAGCGGTTCATCTACTTAGAAATGAGTGATTTTAAGGGATTTTTGACGAATAATTGAAGAGAACTGTTTAACAACGGTATTGGGACCTTGATATTCAAATGGTAAAGTTCAAGTTACTTAAGACTAGACCTCTCAGTCTTCTACCGCGGTTTTAAATCTGTGACGTAACGGGAATGGCTGACGCGTGAGGCAAAGCATGCTTGCCTACCACAAACATCAACCAGTTCCGTGTTTAAACTCACCTGTGAATAATGGTCAGAAAGACCAAAATGACGAGAAACAGGACACGGAAAAGCCATTTGGCCTGTTGTGTCGCAGCTCTTGGTTTGCTTACTCCAAAACTCTGAATCTTGGTTGGTCCAAATTGTGCGCTTGCATGGTTAATAGGCCCCGAGTATTAGAATGCCGTTTCAAGCATTTCTGTCCATGAACTAGGCCAAATTTCTTTTACATGTAAGAAGCGTTTAAGTGTTCGTACAGCTTTTAAGACGTAATATTCAACTGTAAATGCCTAATGTGAATGAAGGCAGCTGGGTGTGCTTGTAGAGATTTGAAACAGAAAAACTATGTGAAAATTTTCGCACTGACGACGAGCATTGGAAGGTGCAAACTTATGTACGCTCTGCCTCATATCC